AAACCGCGGACGAAAAGAAAAAACCCGTAGGTACCCTGATGGACTGGAAAACGATGACCGCCAAGTTTCCGTGGAACGTTATTTTGCTGCTGGGCGGTGGATTCGGACTGGCTGCTGGCGTCAGGGTAAACGAGGGCCAACAAAAGATGAGGTTCCAGTACGATCAGTAAAGTACCTCGTTTAGCAATCAGGACTTTCAGCGAGCATAGGCGCCCTGCTGTCGCTGGTCGGAAACATCCCTCTGTATGCCTTGCAACTGCTGTGCATGACCATGGCGGTGGTGGCAACCAACATCGCCAGCAACATCGTCGTCGGCAGCATCTTGATTCCGGTCACAGCTACCTTAGTACGCGATCACGATAGGCCGTAGCGAATAATGTTCACACTGTCTGCATTTCAGGCTCAAAACTCTCATATTAACCCGTTAGCCTTGATATTTCCCACCACCATTGCTTGCTCGTACGCCTTTATGCTACCAGCTGGAACACCGCCTAACGCCATTGTACTGGCTCCAGGCATTATTAGACTGAAAGACATGGTAAGACAGTAATTTCATGTGAACAGATAGGATGTTATTCGAATTTTACGTATTTGTAAACTGTTGACCGCACAGGCGTCATAAACAACGCGAGGATCAAAGAAATCGACATGCAGCCGTCCATTATGAGGAACCGTGGAACAATAACATACCGTTCGTTGCATAAGCTGGAAAACGCAGTGGCTTAAAGAGACTGAAAGATGCTGTATGGTCAGTGGAACATCATCACCAGCGGTGGCAAACAAAGCCGACCCATGGTTTGTAATAGAGCAAGTCCAACGAGCTGTACAGACGATGAAGGCCGTCAGAAAGGATGGGATGAGTACCGGTCCTGCGATAAATCTCTGAATTCAAGAAGAAATAGGAAAATGTCTAGTTCTGACTGCGCTCCACCTTCGATCGACAAAATCCTAAGACTCTAAGATCGAAATCCAGTCGATACAACGAGATTAGAGTGGAATTCCCGTAGTACAGTGGTGAAACCTTATTTTCTGCATCAGTGTGGCTTTTGGCCACATCTGGTCAAAGTTGGTGATTCCGAGAAAACTGGAAGAAAGGTGAGATTATCCTGATCTTCAACAGTGAGATTCGCACCGACTGTACCAACTCTGTAGGATTCATCCTCCTGTCTATTATGGAGAGTGTTGGCACGAATCGTTCTTGGGTGACTAAGGGAATATATCGATCGTTCGCTGCGAACTAATCAATCGAACTTCTGACGTGGGCGTTCAGTACGGACAACATGTTTGAGATGAAGTGAATCATCTAATCATTAGCCGATATTTTATATTTTATCTTTCTTGGCAAAAGAGGTTTCTGGACGTCTGAGGAGTTTTCGAATCAGTTCATCACCAAACAGTTTATCGTGTTATTCTTCACTAGCGAATCCCACGGCTGATGGTAAACCTCATAAAAAGTCTATATTTGGGGGGGGGCTAAACGCACCGTCCTAACGGAAGGATTACCATCGGACTGGTTAAATATTTCCAGTGAACTTTATCAAGGGAGGGGTTCTATCTTTTGTTATTTAACAGCATGGCGGACTGCTTTGTGTGGAAGTTCGTTATCCCAAGTAACAACCGTCAGAGTTAGCAATGCAGCTCGAGATACCCAGCGGTATTCCTAACAAACGTTGAGAATACCGATGAATCGCGTTGCTAAGCGATTCTGCAACTGCCCTACTGAAACCGCATGCATCACCGTTGTAGGAGTGGGGTTACAACCGAATATTGGAAACACGAAGATTGTGAACGCGCCCACAGCGACGGGCAGTCAAAGGATTTTTATTTTTGGTGATTAATAAGATTTAGTTCATGACTATGGAAA